TGGAGGAAAAAGGATGAGTTGCATCCCAAGAACACCATCCCTACTGTGAAGCATTGGGGTGGTAACATCATGCTTTGGGGGTGCTTTTCTGCGAAGGGGACAGGACGACTGCACTGTATTATGGAGAGGATGAATGGGGCCATTTATTGTGAGATTTTGAGCAACAACCTCCTTCCCTCAGTCAGAGCATTGAAGATGGGTCGTGGCTGGGTCTTCCAACATGACAACGACCCGAAGCACACAGACAGGATAACCAAGGAGTGGCTCCGTAAGAAGCATATCAAGGTTCTGGAGTGGCCTAGCCAATCCAACAGAACATCTTTGGAGGGAGCTGAAACTCCGTGTTGCTCAGCAACAGCCCCGAAACCTGACAGATCTAGAGGAGATCTGTGTGGAGGAGTGGGCCAAAATACCTGTTGCAGTGTGTGCAAACCTGGTCAAGAACTACAGGAAACGTTTGACCTCTGTAATTGCAAACAAAGGCTTCTGTACCAAATATTAACACTGATTTTCTCAGGTGTTCAAATACTTATGTTCTGCTGTGCAAAACAAATAAATTCTTTAAAAATCATACAATGTGATTTCCTGAATTTTTTTTTTAATTCTGTCTCTCAGAGTGGGAATGCACCTACAATGTGAATTTCAGACCCCTCCATGATTTCCAAGTGGAAGAACTTGCAAAATCGCAGGGTGTTCAAATACTTCTGTTCCTCACTGTACCTTACGAGGGGGTCATATGTGTTTGGTAAGGAACTTCTATATATACAGTATGTGATTCTGGAACGGTCTTCCCTTCTTCCTCAACTGGTGGATGGACATTGGATTGTGTTTTCTCTGACCCGTTTGAATGGACACTTTGGACTACTGATATTGTCACTATTCGCATTGGTGGCATTTTTTACGCCACCGTTTTGCACAGACACGTGTTATATTTGTTGTGTTTTTTTATATTTACTTGATATGTAATTTTGGTTCCAGCATGAAATTATGAACATCATAATTGAGTGCTGCACTGTCTGTATATCTTATTATATATTTATCTTCTTATGAGCAGTGTTTTGAGAGCACTGTCCAACCCAGTTGCTTAGCAGTTACAGTATGGATCAGAATGGTACTAAGTGCTATATGCAGTTGGTCCCTTGGGAGATTCAACTCAGATTTTTAGAATGTAGTAATACTTTTCTTTAATTTATAAAACACCTAAATTGGATTGTTTCAACTAAAAACTGTCATTTCAAATATTATAAAGCCCACTTTTGAAACTTTTTTCACTCTCATCATTAAACTATTGGGGGAGACTTCAACTAAAACAGTCTTATTGTTAGCAGTGTCTAATCTGTGGCTTTCTTTATTTTTAATGCAAGTTAGGGGCAAATTTATTTTCAGGTACATACCTGCATGTGTCAGACCTAAAGATTAATGTAAACATTTTTGCATGTAAATTGTACATGATTGGATCCACAACTGCAATAATAAATGTGTCCCCCAATGTTGCTATGCAGTAGAACATTCAATAACATAATGGTCAGTGGGTACTCATTAACATACACTAACTAAATTGTTATAACAAAACATTATATGCTGCATTAAAGGGGCAGTCCACACAAAATTAATTTATTTTGTAGTGTATTGGGTTGAGACAGCCACTGACTTCTGATATAGCTACGTACTATAGCTTACTGTATGTTTGTGCACATCATGTGGTGTTGAAATGTTAACATCTATGGGAGTTGCCACTCCTCCTATTGTGTTTCTTGTTTTTAAAGGTTAAATGGAATTCCTTTGTAGGTACTATGAAACCTCTGCAGAGCTGAGAGTGCAGGTGCAGAAATCTCACAACCAGGCTGCCTGACACTTCACATCTAATTCAGTGATATACTGAATGCTGGGAAATTCTTTGTTTGCAATGTGCATTGCCCTTCCATGTACACCTTACTGCTAAGGCTGGTTATAGGTTGGGATGATTGCCATTTTTTGTGTAGTTGGCTAATTTGGGTGCAGGGACGCACTGGATGCCTTTTCTGTCATTTTGGTTTAGCTGGGCATCATGTGCGTCCCTGTACCTTTACGGAGGGATGGGCTGCTCCAGACACACCTGCGCTTAACCTATCCATTGATACATGTGCTAGTACTAGGCAGGCTTTGGAAATTTTACTTAGGTCCACAGTATCCAGAGGACCCTTGACGTGAGACTGTGGCTTATGCATGTATTTTCAAATGTGTGCAAACAAAACTCTCTGTTTTTAACACGAACTGTCAAAACAGGGCCAAATTGGTTGTTTTGAATCTGGCTGGTAAGTGTTGCTGTGAAATCCTTTGTTTGTTTGCGATGTGCATTGCCCTTCCATGTGCACTTTACTGCTAAGGCTGGTTATAGGTTGGGACGCTTGCCATTTTTTCTGTAGTTGGATTTTTTTTTCTTACTCCCACAATCACTTTAATGTACTCCTGTTTTGTCTAAACCATAGGAAAGCAAAGGGAGAAAGGTGGCACACTACAAGCCATGCACCATGAAGCATCACGCAGATACCACAGCATTTTTCTTCTAAGTCCCTTCGAGGAGTCGCTTTGAATTCTTTCCAAATGTTGGCAGTTATTACACTCACTGACACCAGTCATAGAACTGATTTTTGCTTTGTTGACCATCAATGTAAGGGCCACTTTTCCATAGTTTGATTATTGCACATTGCTTCAAAGGGAAACAGTCTGTGTTACTTTTACACTGTAAATAGTTTCTAAATAAAATTGCATCTTTCATTTTAAGGCCCTGCATTTTTCATTATGTAATGTCTGCTTTTATTATAGCAATGAGTGCGGGTATGGAACTTTGCTCTTCCATTCATATTCCCAGCACCAGAACAAGAATTCTGGATGAACACTGCTACATACCTTTTCTAGCAAACTTTGCAATGAAAAAAAAACAGGGATTTTTAGTTCACACAGATTGAAATACCTATTTAACATGTTCAACTGCATCTAATAATCCCTCTACAGCCAGCCCCTAACCTGCTCTGCAAAATGAAAATGCTACAGTAGATAAACTGCCATTATGGGGCAAAAAGACACAAGTTGGAAGAGAGCTACAGGTTCTGTTGACTGACCTGAAATGCAGTAGAAATATTTATTTTATTTATAATAGGTACTTACTAGAGATGAGCGAAGTATTCAAAAATTCGATTCGGCTGATTCGGCGAATTCGCGGAATAAATTTGATTCGAGTCGAATATATTCGCTGCGAATTTAACTTATAAAAAGGGTGTTTCTAGGCTTCAGAGAGCCTTTATATTAGTGCAGAACACTGTACCTTTAATTTAAATGCCCTTGGAGTCTGCTGGGGAAGAGAAATAATACTGTCAGTCAGTATGACATGCAGATGAGTGCCGTCGATCTTAGAATCACCGCACACTTCACTCATTTCGGCAGTCACGGGGCCAAAACCAGAGTGTGGAGCCACAGTGTGGCGGTGGAGGCAGCAGCAATGGGAGGCCATACAGCACCCTATGACAAAATGGAACCCACCAGCAGTGTGAGGAGACCTGAAAGTGGCACATGGCAGAGTGTGGCGATGGAGACAGCAGCAATGGGAGGCCGTACAGGGACCCATGAGAGACTCTGGACCTGGCAGCAGCATGAGGAGGCGGTACAGGGGCCCATGACAGATTACGGGCCTGGCAGCAGCATGAGGAGTCGGTACGGGGGCCCATGGCAGATTACGGGCCTGGCAGCAGCAATGGGAGGCCCGTAATCTGCCAGCACCCTATGACATGGAACCCACCAGCAGTGTGAGGAGACCTGAAAGTGGCACATGGCAGAGTGTGGCGATGGCGACAGCAGCAATGGGAGGCCGTACAGGGACCCATGACACTCTGGACCTGGCAGCAGCATGAGGAGGTTGTACAGGGGCCCATGACAGATTACGGGCCTGGCAGCAGCATGAGGAGTCGGTACGGGGGCCCATGGCAGATTACGGGCCTGGCAGCAGCAATGGGAGGCCGTACAGGGACCCATGAGACACTCTGGACCCAGCAGCATGAGGAGGCGGTACAGGGGCCCATGACAGATTACGGGCCTGGCAGCAGCATGAGGAGTCGGTACGGGGGCCCATGGCAGATTACGGGCCTGGCAGCAGCAATGGGAGGCCGTATAGGGACCCATGACAGACTCTGGACCTGGCAGCAGCATGAGGAGGCGGTACAGGGGCCCATGACAGATTACGGGCCTGGCAGCAGCATGAGGAGTCGGTACGGGGGCCCATGGCAGATTACGGGCCTGGCAGCAGCAATGGGAGGCCCGTAATCTGCCAGCACCCTATGACAAAATGGAACCCACCAGCAGTGTGAGGAGACCTGAAAGTGGCACATGGCAGAGTGTGGCGATGGCGACAGCAGCAATGGGAGGCCGTACAGGGACCCATGACACACTCTGGACCTGGCAGCAGCATGAGGAGGCGGTACAGGGGCCCATGACAGATTACGGGCCTGGCAGCAGCATGAGGAGTCGGTATGGGGGCCCATGGCAGATTACGGGCCTGGCAGCAGCAATGGGAGGCCCGTAATCTGCCAGCACCCTATGACAAAATGGAACCCACCAGCAGTGTGAGGAGACCTGAAAGTGGCACATGGCAGAGTGTGGCGATGGAGACAGCAGCAATGGGAGGCCGTACAGGGACCCATGAGACACTCTGGACCTGGCAGCAGCATGAGGAGGCGGTACAGGGGCCCATGACAGATTACGGGCCTGGCAGCAGCATGAGGAGTCGGTACGGGGGCCCATGGCAGATTACGGGCCTGGCAGCAGCAATGGGAGGCCCGTAATCTGCCAGCACCCTATGACAAAAAATGGAACCCACCAGCAGTGAGGAGGAGACCTGAAAGTGGCACATGGCAGAGTGTGGCGATGGAGACAGCAGCAATGGGAGGCCGTACAGGGACCCATGAGACACTCTGGACCTGGCAGCAGCATGAGGAGGCGGTTACAGGGGCCCATGACAGATTACGGGCCTGGCAGCAGCATGAGGAGTCGGTGCCGGGGGCCCATGGCAGATTACAGGCCTGGCAGCAGCAATGGGAGGCCCGTAATCTGCCAGCACCCTATGACAAAATGGAACCCACCAGCAGTGTGAGGAGACCTGAAAGTGGCACATGGCAGAGTGTGGCGATGGAGACAGCAGCAATGGGAGGCCGTACAGGGACCCATGACACACTCTGGACCTGGCAGCAGCATGAGGAGGCGGTACAGGGGCCCATGACAGATTACGGGCCTGGCAGCAGCATGAGGAGTCGGTACGGGGGCCCATGGCAGATTACGGGCCTGGCAGCAGCAATGGGAGGCCCGTAATCTGCCAGCACCCTATGACAAAATGGAACCCACCAGCAGTGTGAGGAGACCTGAAAGTGGCACATGGCAGAGTGTGGCGATGGAGAGGCAGCAGCAATGGGAGGCCGTACAGGGACCCATGACACACTCTGGACCTGGCAGCAGCATGAGGAGGCGGTACAGGGGCCCATGACAGATTACGGGCCTGGCAGCAGCATGAGGAGTCGGTACGGGGCCCATGGCAGATTACGGGCCTGGCAGCAGCAATGGGAGGCCCGTAATCTGCCAGCACCCTATGACAAAATGGAACCCACCAGCAGTGTGAGGAGACCTGAAAGTGGCACATGGCAGAGTGTGGCGATGGAGACAGCAGCAATGGGAGGCCGTACAGGGACCCATGACACACTCTGGACCTGGCAGCAGCAGCATGAGGAGGCGGTACAGGGCCCATGGCAGAGTGGCGAAGCGTAAGCAGCTTAAATTGAAGGCCATACAGAGGCCTATGTTAAAAATAATAACATGTTTGGGGCATGATTCATGGCGGATTTAGTCAGTTGTGTCAGGAACTGGTGGTTTGAAATCCAGACTAATCCACGCCTGATTCATTTTCACAAACGTGAGTCTCTCCACACTTTGGGTGGACAGTCGTGTCCTCCGCGGAGTTACAATACCTCCTGCCGCACTAAACACGCGCTCCGATGCCACGCTACTGGCCGGGCATGACAGCCTTTCAAGGGCAAATTCAGCTAGTTGGGGCCAAAGGTCAAGTTTCGTTGCCCAGTAGTCAAGGGGATTGTCTACCTCGGTTGGCAGGGTGCTGTCCAAGTAGGCCCAAGCCTGTTGTTTGAGGTCCTGCTCCAGGTCCACCTGATGCTGCTGCTGCTGCGGCTGGTTAGTAGTTTCCTCACTGCGCTGGTGAAGAAAGCTACTCATCATCGACTGCAGACTGAGGCAGCCGCTGCTGGTGGAGCTGCCACTGCTCCTACCACCCCACCCCTCCCCTGCTGCCATGGCAGCGGAACGCGAGCGCACAGGGCCCACAGTGTCTGAGGATGGACGTTGGCGCAGAAAAAGGCAGAGACCAACTGACTACATAGGTGGTTTTTATAGTACGTTATTTTGGCCTCCCTCTCAGCAGGTGTGAAAAAGGCCACCATTTTTGAACGGTAGCGAGGGTCCAAACAAGGTGGACAGCCAAAAGTCATCCCTCTGTCTGATGGTTATTATTCGGCTGTCGCTACGCAAGCAACCGAGCATGCTATGGGCCATTTGTGCCAAGGAATGCGAGGGACTCCCTGCCTCCATCTCCACAGCATACTGCCACGGTGCGTCTGGGTCCTCTGTCTCCTCTCCTCCTCCTCTACCAGATGCTCCTGCTCCTCCACTCCTGTCCGCTGAGTGGAAAAACCACCCATTTCACTCAATAATTCCTGAGCACCAATGTCCTCCTCTACCTCCTCCTCTTCTTCCTGTCCTGCCCCCACAGGGGTCATGTGGCGTTGAGATCTGTGCGCCACGTCTACCGCACCCTGACCAGCCATTGTTAACAGCATTTGTTCCAGGACGTGCAACAGAGGAATGACGTCGTTCATCCCATAGTCCTGCCGACTCACGAATAGCGTGGCCTCCTCAAAGGGCCTGAGCAAGCGGCAGGTGTCACGCATGAGCTGCCAATGGCTGACATCTAAGTTACACAGGGGAGTACCTTTATCCGCTTGTAACATCAGGAAATCGGTGATGGCCTTTCGCTGTTCGTAAAGGCGGTCTAACATATGTAGGGTTGAATTCCACCTTGTTGCAACGTCGCAGATCAGGCGATGCTGTGGAATTCCGTTCTGCCGCTGCAGCTCAAGGAGGGTGTGCTTTGCGGTGTAGGAATGGCTGAAATGCATGCAAAGTTTACGTGACATTTTAAGGATGTCTTGCAGTGGGATGGTGGATTTTAGGAACCGCTTGACAACCAGATTGAACACGTGAGCCATGCATGGCGCATGGCACAACCTTCCTTGACGCAGAGCAGACACCATGTTCTTTCCGTTGTCGGTCAACATGGTTCCGATTTTCAGTTTGCGCGGAGACAGCCATCTGTCGATTTCTCTGTTCATTACACTCAGAAGTTCCTCCCCTGTGTGACTACGTTCGCCAAGGCATACCAGGTGCAGCACAGCGTGACACCGTTGCGCCCTGCACATGTGATATGCCGGTCGGGTAATGGGACTTGGCACGGGGGTGGCGGCTGAGGACACGGCGGAAGAAGAGGTGGTAGAGGCGGACATCTTTGCTGGACCAAGGACGTGCAAACGTGGAGGCAAAAGCGGCGTGACCTGTCCAAGTTGCTGGTGCGGCTGTGCCGGCACCACGTTCACCCAGTGGGCCGTAAATGACATGTACTGTCCCTGACCGTAGTTACAGCTCCACACGTCGGCGCTGCCGTGCACTTTGGCAGAGACCGACATGCTCAAAGACTGGCCCACCATCTCTTCTACATGTGAATGCAGGGCTGGCACTGCCTTTTTGGCGAAGAAATGCCGGCTTGGCACTCTCCACCGCGGCGCGGCACAAGCCATCATTTCTCGGAAAGGTGCTGAGTCCACCACTTGGAAAGGGAGGGACTGCAGCACCAGCAACTTGGACAGGAGGACGTTCAGCTTCTGCACCGTCGGGTGCGTGCTCGCAAACTGTTGTCTCTTGGAAACGGATTCCAAGAAAGACTGCTGACGGAATCCGTGAAGAGGAGTAGCAGGAGAAGGAGCATCTGAACGAGCGGAAGATGCCAACGAGCGACAACTCCCCTCAGCAGAGGTGTTGGAGCCTTGACTGGCTGATAGAGGGCGATTGACGTCGGGTGACGGAGCAAGTAACGGAGCGGGTGATGGAGCGGGGGCTGGGGCAGGCAGAACCGCCGTATCTTTATCACGGTTTTCCCAGGCCACCGAATGGCGACGCTGCATATGCTGACGCAACGCTGTAGTCCCAACATGGGCCCCCTGGCCACGCTTGACTTTCTGGCCACATAGTCGACATACGGCTACGTTTACTTCCTCGGGCGGCTTGACGAAAAATTGCCACACCGCCGAGTAGGAAACTTTGCCCCCGCTACTCCTCACTGGCTGACTGCTACTTCCTCCGTGCACACCGGCACCACTACTGGCCGTGGTGGTAGGCTGCAGTGGAGCTGGTGCTCTACTCCGTGGCCGTTTGCCTCCACTGACACTGCTGCGACCCTGCTGCCTCCTGGGCAACCCACCGACTGTTTTGCTCGCTGCCAAGCTGGCACCCTCTTCTCCTGATGATGCGGAAGCAATAGCCTGATGACGACGAGGCTGCCAAGTGCGATCAGCCTCATCATCATCAATTAGGGTCTCCGCCTCACTACTAGCCCCCTCGGCTGCGTGTGGGTCAGGAGACAGACCTGTCTCTAGACCGGCTACCGAGCCACTCTCCTCGCCAGTACTTCTTCGCCTGGCTGCTGAAGAGGCGGATGTCTCCCCCCGTTCCTGACCGCCCTCTGTTAGCTCTTCCTCACTGTACAGTGGGGCTGAGCCCACAGCATGCGATACTTCGCTTGGTGAGGGAACACCAAAGGACAGGGGCAGGTAGAGGACACGTGATTTCAGTGGGCTTGCTCCCGGGCCATGCCAACTAACGGTTGTGTCTGACGTACCCACCGACCGTTGGCTGTAGGTGTCAGAGGTGACCTGGGAAGAGGAAGACGACCGAGCCAACCAATCGATGACGGCAGGGTTGTCGGTGGAGACACGACCGCTGGATGACACCGGGAGCACTGGCCTCTGGCTGCGACTAGTGCTGCCTCGACCCCTTCCTCTGCTGCCACGTCTGCTCGCTCCTAAACATGGCCTCCTCTGACACTCCTCTGCGTGTTGTCTGACATACTCTTTAATTCTGTGTCCCTGAGTAACGATTCTGTGTCCCTGAGTAACAGTTCTGTGTCCCTGAGTAACAATTCTGTGTCCCTGAGTAACAGTTCTGTGTCCCTGAGTAACAATTCTGTGTCCCTGAGTAACAATTCTGTGTCCCTCAGTAACAATTCTGTGTCCCTCAGTAACAATTCTGTGTCCCTCAGTAACAATTCTGTGTCTGTCCCTGAGTAACAATTCTGTGTCCCTCAGTAACAATTCTGTGTCCCTCAGTAACAATTCTGTGTCCCTCAGTAACAATTCTGTGTCCCTCAGTAACAATTCTGTGTCTGTCCCTGAGTAACAATTCTGTGTCCCTCAGTAACAATTCTGTGTCCCTCAGTAACAATTCTGTGTCCCTCAGTAACAATTCTGTGTCTGTCCCTGAGTAACAATTCTGTGTCCCTCAGTAACAATTCTGTGTCCCTCAGTAAAAATTCTGTGTCTGTCCCTGAGTAACAATTCTGTGTCCCTCAGTAACAATTCTGTGTCCCTGAGTAACAGTTCTGTGTCCCTGAGTATCAATTCTGTGTCCCTGAGTAACGATTCTGTGTCCCTGAGTAACAATTCTGTGTCCCTGAGTAACAGTTCTGTGTCCCTGAGTAACACTTCTGTGTCCCTGAGTAACAATTCTGTGTCCCTCAGTAACAATTCTGTGTCCCTCAGTAACAATTCTGTGTCCCTCAGTAACAATTCTGTGTCTGTCCCTGAGTAACATTTCTGTGTCCCTGAGTAACAATTCTGTGTCCCTGAGTAACAATTCTGTGTCCCTCAGTAACAATTCTGTGTCCCTCAGTAACAATTCTGTGTCTGTCCCTGAGTAACAATTCTGTGTCCCTGAGTAACAGTTCTGTGTCCCTGAGTAACAGTTCTGTGTCCCTGAGTAACAGTTCTGTGTCCCTCAGTAACAATTCTGTGTCTGTCCCTGAGTAACAGTTCTGTGTCCTTGAGTAACAGTTCTGTGTCCCTGAGTAACAATTCTGTGTCCCTAAGTAACGATTCTGTGTCCCTAAAGTATCTGTGGCCCTAACTCTGTCCCTAATACAGAGAGGTCTGTCTCTCTTGAATGACCGGAGGCAAATGGAGAATTGTAAGATGGCCGCAATTTATAGCTCCACCATTACACAGTGCTGGCTGGCTGGCTGCTGATTGGCTAATGCGATCACATGTCATGAATGAATGCATTATGGGTCAGCGCGCCTTCCCAGAGATCCCCGCTCCGTCGCCACACATGTCGCCGCCATTTTTGGAAAAATTTCGATTCGCGCATCCGAAGTATGCTAATTTTCGGATTCGGCGCAAATCAAATTTTTCCTAATATTC